TCTCTTAGCACACAGCTGCTGGAAAAATGGAGCATTTGCTTCTTGTAATTGCTAAATTTCAATCAATATTATAAATATTTACCTATTTGCATCCATCCCACTTCTTAATATTAGAGAGGAACCCAAAAAAAATGTTTTAAGCAAATTGTGTAAAATAATCCCAATTAAGTGGGATTATCTACCCATCCTAGAATTTATTTGGTCTAATTTTCCAATTTCAATGACAGCAGCACCTTTCTTTTTTTTCTTTTTTATGGTTTCATGTAAATATTTTTAGCAACAAAACACTGTGTAATATTACAGCAGCTTCTACCTAGTGATTTTTTTTCCTTTTTAGTATTTCTGCAAACTTAAATCTGGTCCCCTTCTTTCTTCTGCTTTTTGCTTCTGCTGCTCTCTGTCCTAAGATAAATTATCATGTAAAGTGTCTCTTACACATCTTGATGTTTCCTCTACCTGAAGCAGAATTTCTTTTTTTTTTTTTTCCCTGCACTAGTGTGAAGCCATCAAATTTAATTAATCCCGGAAATATTGACTTAGTGCTAAGGGAAGCATTATCATTAAATTAGAAATGCTTGTGGTAGTGATGCCAGCTGCAGAGCAAGGCAGACACTCCTCTCTGTAAGTGCAGCACGTTTTAGGTAAAAGTCTTTGCAGCCAAAAACTTTATTTACTCATTTAATTTCATATATTCGTTTCACTACTGAAGATCCAGGAGCTGCTTGTTTGGCATCTTCCTTCAACACTATTTTTCACACATTACATATCATTTGTGTTTCAGAATTCCCTACAAATTGACTGAAAACTTGTTCTTAGAAGTTTAGGGAGAAGAGAAATAAAGACATCATACAACTGTGATGTCACTGTTACAAAATAGCTGCTTTTTAATTTATTTTTTTAAGAAGGAATGCAGACTTCCTCTCTAAATCTCCTCCTCCAAATTATCAAAAATCTAATACTGATTTTCTGCAAATACAGGCCTTTTAAACATGACTAATATGTCATATGGCATTACACCAAAGTGCAAGTTAACATTTCATGATATTTTGTCCAATATCTGATGTCTTTTAATAGCATTGTTTAATCACATGGCTCTTTAATTTTCCTTGGTAGGAGATCATTTTTCCTTTCTAGGTTCTCTGCCTCTATTAAAGTCTAAGCTTTACATTGTTGAGTTTTAACTTCTTTTTGCAAGGGTTGTGATTAAATGTGTGAGAAGGTATTTCTGGTTTGACTCAGATGTTTATTACTTCTTATCTATGCTACAGTCTCACAAACCCTGAGTTCTACAGGACTTCACTCCAACAAACTAAAAATTGAGCTCCATCTCTCTCTACAAGGTCTTTTAAGGATAAACTGTCCAATTAAGAAATGACACCTAAATTATTTTTACTTCTAACCCAATAACCAACCACCCGTGGCCCACAATGCAGTTTTTTATATCCAATTACACAAAACCACCCAAACCCATGGAGAAGAAGAAGATGGTGAAGAAGAAGGAGCAGCCTCCACCCTAAAACCTCCATCTTGCTCTATATTTATTACAATATTCTAAACCCTTAAACTCTAAGTTTTCCACCCTGTGATATTACACACTTCTATTCAAACTCCACACCCACAATCCCAGTTCTATCATTCCATTTTGGAAGCTTCTCCACAGCCTCAGGTCAATGCAGTGTTCTCCTGGGGGTCGGTGCCTGTCAGCACACTTTATTTGAATAAAGTAAAAGGACTCCTCTGCCTCCTTTATGGACATAAACATCTGGTGGTTGTAGATTAATTTTCCTAACAAAATCAAGGCTAAATCTCTGCCTCCTTACGGGAGCGCTCCTCACAGAGCCCACCTCCACCATGCCATTTTGCCCATCCATTTCCCAGTGCTTGACCACAGAAATGTTGACTTTAAGAAGGTTAAAGGTGGCAGCCTCGGGCACCAAACGGGGCTGGGCAGGAGGGGCTGGTTGTTGTTTTTTCAGCAGAAAAGTGTCAGGAAGATGCAGCGGCCCCGGCCCCCGCTGAGGCGCCGAGTGACAGCGGCAGCTGCCGGGGTGAGGGAGCCCCACAGGCCCGAGGCTTCCCAGGCCAGGAAAGGCCACGACAGCTCCTGTTCCCACATCTGGTGTTAAAAATGGGACCAGACCCCTGGTGTTGGAGGGATTTCAGCAGTTCAGGGAACAGCTTCTCCTCCCAGGCACCAAGGACACAGCCACTGGTGTTAAAAATGGGACCAGACTCATGGTGTGGAGGGATTTCAGCAGTTCAGGGAACGGCCTCTCCTCCAAGCACCAGGGACAGGAGAACAGGACATGGCCACTGGTGTTAAAAATGGGACCGAACTCCCAATACTGAAGTGATTTCAGTAATTCAGGGAGCAGCCTCTCCTCCCAGGCACCAGGGACGCAGCCACTGGTGTTAAACAGGACCAGACTCCTTGTACTGAAGGGATTTCAGTAGTTCAAGGAGAAACTTCTCCTCCCAGGCACCAGGGACAGGAGAACAGGACACAGCCACTGGTGTTAAAAACGAAACCAGACTCCTGGTACTGAAGACATCTCCCTCCTGGGCAGGAGGGAGAATTTCTTCCCAGAAAGAAGACATCTCCTGTTCCCACATCTGATGTTAAAAATGGGACCAGACTCCTGGTACTAAAGAGATTTCAGCATTTATTATAATAAAAAGAAAGGCCTAAAGCGAGGGGGCCTGAGGGCCAAGCAGGAGCGTTCCTATCGAGGATGCTGCAGGTCTTCAGCAGTGATGTCCCCAATGTTCCAGATGGAGTGGCACAGGTGCCCTGGGTCAGATGCCCCTTTTTATCCTGTTTTTTGTCCCTTTGGATTGATTTCTTTTTGGATCCTTCATGCAAATCCAGTTTTAGGTGCTTGATTGGCCCTTACAGTTCTGTCCAGGCTGGCTCCTTTCCCTTGGGGAGTAGTGCACTTTACTTAGGTGTAATTTCATATAACTACCCTTTTCACTCCTTTTACAACATAACAACCAAACTAACAGTACATGCTTAACAATTATCAACTATTTTGCAACAGTTTCTAACCTATTTTTAACATCTGGGGCTGCAGGAATAACAGCGAGAGCTCAAGGGAGACAATGACCCAAGTGGGCTTGAGACTAAGGGATAATTCTCCTTTCTTTTATCCCTGCAAGGATGAATGTTTGCTAATTAGAGAGATCTCTTTGTAGACTGAAGGCAGGACTGAAAAACTGACTTAGTCTGAATTAATGCAAACCATGAGTAACCCGTGTAAGTGAACACATATACACACAGAGAGAGAATATAAATTAAATATTCTACATTGGCAAAACTTTCTGGGCTCTGACTTAGATCCTGCCAATGCCTGAAACATTTGCAGCATTCACATATTCATCATAACCTGATCTTTCAAAAAAGGGCAGTCTGGAGTCTTCTTCCTGCCTGTGAGTATGAAATGTTTTTAAATGTTTACTATTCAATGCAAAAGATTTAATATTTAGGTGAGTTCTTCCTAGAGAATGAATTAGCTATCAGATAGTGAGTCTTTTGCATGAAAATTTAGATTCCTGTGATAAAAAGGAATTTGATGTTCTTGTTCAGAAGGATTTAAACTAAAATAATTCGATTTCCTGGAAAAGGCCAAGTTCTAAAAACCAACAGACATAACAGGATAAACACATTGCCCACCTCACCCAGATTCCATGAAATTTCACAATTCTGAACTATACAAAAACCAAAATATCTTCAGTATCACCTCAGCTCTTGTGGAAGTTGAAGACCTCATGTCTGTTAAATCTCTGTGCTCCTGTGCTCACAAAACCCAGCAGCAGTGGTGGGAGAAGGGAAAGAGGCACAGACAACATGGAGAAAGGCCTGGAGGAGTATTTGAAATGTTTGTAAGCAGATTCTGGAGACATGGGACACAGGAATACCTAAATTGTCATTAAAAATATGGAGAACAACCTAGTGAGGAGCTGCAGAAACCCTGGCATAGGGTTTGGGGCATTCTCACTTCTGGGAAAAAGGGATTGAGAACAGATTCCCTGTTGATGTCTTTTCAGCTGGGATGGCTCTGGGGTCTGAAAAAATCTGCTTTCTGTTAGGAAAAACCATAAAATGTTCAGCAAAAGATGAAAAACATGCCTTTCATTGGCATAAAATCAGGAGGTTTCCTCGCAGGAGGGTGTATTGAAAATTCCCTAGAAAGCAGAATATAGAAAGAATAACTGCCACTGGCAGCAAACTCCAACCCTCAGCAAATACATGTGTTACAAATCTAACAAAACAAACAGCACTCAAAGCCTTGCATTGTGTACAAGCCAGGTTTAATAATTTTTCTTAACCTTAGGATTGGGCCTTAAATTATATATAATTAGTGAAGGCCTTTCTTGCTTCTATTTCCCACTTTAGTTCTTGAGATTTGTTTTCTATTGAATCCTGGTTTAGGGCTTTTTTTAAACCCAAGACTGAGAATTTTGTTAACAGTGCAATAAAAATAACTTCATAGTGTTACAAGGAAACATTAAAGACTTTTTTTGTGTGCGTGCTGCTCTTTCCCTTAAAAAAAAATACAGACATTGTTTCTTTAAAAGGCTCCATCTGCAAATCCCATTAGATGTGCATATAAGGTTTCAGATGATTAATAGCTGCCTGCTTTGCTTTGGTTGGAGGGGCTGAGGGTATGTGTGTTAACCCCTCCTTCCCTCGCTCACATTTCACTTCACAAACTTGTCACTGTCTCCCCAGCCCAGTGTTTAAAAAGTGTTTCACTCATGCCCAGCACTTCACAAGGAAGCAGCTCATGGCAATCCCTGCCTAAATCTGCTTGGCAATGAAGACCTCGAGAACCAGAGTTCCTAAAGCAGCAAACCTGCAGCAGCATCACCAGCAAACCGCTGTTTAGGGAGGAGATTTCTGTAACATCTGGAAGAGTCTCCCTCTGCTCCTCTGGTGCTTTTGGAGGCTGAGCTGTCAGCAGGCAGGAGCCCTGAGGTGTGGGCAGGACTGGGAGCAGATGGATCCCAGCAGCAGCAGCTGCATGAGCAGCCCACAGCCTCCCCCCCTGCTCTGGGGCTGTGTGAGGAGCTCCCACCCCGAGCTGAGCTCAGCTCCAGGGCTCAGCCACTACCCAGCAGCACCGTTCTCCTTCCAGCAAAAAGCAGATTTTGCTGCTTACTCTGATTTCTCAGCCTCCTGCCTGGTGCCAGCTCCCCACAGCTTCCCCCAGGAGCAGCACCCCTCGTTCCAGCACCCTGAGTGGCACCTGGCAGCGCCTGAGGCCACCAGAGGAGCAAACCCAGGGCTGGCCTTGGCTTCTGGAGAGTCAGAGGGCAGCAGCACCAGCCTGGTGAGCGTGGCTGTGGATGAGGATGATGAGGCACCAGCAAATCCTACAAGTGACTCTGAGAAAAAGCCATCCAGAAGGAAAAAGGAAAGCTCAGGTAGGTGATGTGAAATCAGGGTTGTGGGACAGTGCAGTTTTAGGTGCTTGATTGGCCCTTACAGTTCTGTCCAGGCTGGCTCATTTATCTTGGGGAGTGGTGCACTTAACTTAGGTGTAATTTCTTATAACCACCCTTTTCACCCCTTTTACAACATAACAACCAGACTAACAGTATATGCTTAACAATTATCAACTGTTTTACAACACTTCCTAATCTATATTTAACATCTGGGAGTGCAGGATAACAGCAAGAGCTCCATGAGGAGATCAGGGCCCAAGCAGTTTGAGAGCAGGAATTCTGAGCAGAAATGAGAACACCTGGTGAGACTGGGACTTAAGAAAGCAAGCTGCTGAGCAAAACATTTCATAATATTGACTGGGGAAACTTTAGACAGTAACAGGACTGTCTAAACTGGTCTAACATTACTAACTTACTGTCTTATTTTTTTTTCTGGTCTTTGTATTTTATTTTACTCCTGCAGATCTTGGGTGCTGAGCTAGGCATTTTACTCACCAGCACAATTTGCTGGAACTGAGCAGGAGTCACATGGCATGTACACACAGAACTCCACTAGGATGTGGAGTTACAGAGTTTTATATTCACACCTGCCATTTGTCTGAGCAAAAGAATGGCAGAGAGCAAAGATCCCTCACCTTGAGCTGCCTGAGGTAGTAGGGAATGTCATACTAGGGATTTGACATTTCAGTTGTGGTAAAGAGTACAAGAGGCAAAGTCTCGCTAAATGTTAAATATTTTCACCTCAGAACTAATCTCTGCCACTGCACATGTTCACTTAGATCAGCATAACCCCAAATCACAGCAGTGTGCTTGCCTCCTAGAGACCCAGAACTCCAGCAATAAGGCAGAAAGCAGCAGCAGATCAAGGAAGGAAAGGACAGCATTCACCAAGGAGCAGCTGAGGGAGCTGGAAGCTGAATTTGCCCACCACAACTACTTGACAAGGCTCAGGAGATACGAGATAGCTGTGAACCTGGATCTCACTGAAAGACAAGTACTTCCCAAACCCCAAACCCTCCCCAGCTCCTCCTTCCTCCCCCACAACTTCTCCCTAATGCTAAAAACCAGATTATGTTACTCAAGGGTCTGCTTTTGCAATGGCACAGAGGTATTTTAAAACCAAGCCTCCACATTCTTTCAAACACCTTTTTGTGGTGGTGTTCTCAGGGGTCCCAGGATGAGGGAAGAGATGAGAATCTTGACTCCATGTTTCAGAAGGCTGATTTATTATTTTATGATATATATTATATCAAAAGAAAATTATATATTAAAACTATACTAAAAGAATAGAAGAAAGGATTTTGTCAGAAGGCTAGCAAGGAAAATAATGGAATGATGATAAAATCTTGTGACTGCTCACAGCCTCGACACAGGCGGCTGTCATTGGTCATCAAGTAAAAACAATTTCACATGCTGGGTAAACAATTCTCCAAATCACATTCCAAAGCAGCAAAACATGAAGAAGCTGAAGCTTCTCAGCTTTTCAGGAGAAAAGATCCTAATGAAAGGATTTTTCATAAAATATATCTGTGACACCTTCATTACATATTTCTGTAAGTAGTTAATAATTTAATTATGTTTCTCTCAGCTAAAGATAGCCCTGGTAATAACTGGTCTCTGCTGAGTTCTTGTTTACCACCATTCATTGGTGCCTATTGATATATCAAGGTTTACATGTGGAATATGGATATCACCTTTGACTAAAGGAAATTGTTGGAATTAATGTTTGATATGTGCATTCTTCCTGGGTCAGGTGGTATTTTGAGGTGGAAATTTTTTTTCCTTTTTATAAGGAAAGACAATTATACAGAGTTTTGAGGAGAGGGTTATTTCTGTTCTCTCGTTGTCATCTCAGTCCAGGTTTCCTTATCAAGCCTAAGTGGGCAGCAGAAGAATTGTGTAATTATGTGAGGCAAATTAAAATTCCTGAAGCATTAGATTGGATGGCCTAGATGTTAAAAATACATGAGAGGCACTGTGCCTTATTTGTGCCAGATTCTAGCAAAGCACTTGTACTACCTTTGAGGGTTTCAGAGGAACATCTGTGTGGAGCATTTTAGAAATAATTATTGCAGTCTGTATTAGAGAGATGTATTAGTCAAACTCTGTTCATCTTTTCTTCTAGAATTCCACAAACCATCTCTCTACACACATATGCTTTATACAGCTCAGGCTGAGGCAACAAGTAATTATTTTCTCTTTATCACCCAGGTCAAAGTGTGGTTTCAGAACAGAAGAATGAAGTGGAAACGTGTTAAAGGTGGGCAAGCAGTGCCCCCACACGAACATGACATGGAGGATGTGGACTCTGCTGCCTCCCCCAGCTCTGAGTAATCCCTGCAGCAATGGGAGAGGAGTTTGGAGAAAGTCATTGGTTGGAATGTGGGTGCAAACTGCTTAAAATCAGCTACACAGTGAGGTTACAGAGGCAATTAAAGAGCACAAGGGGAAAAAAAGCCAAAGGACAGCATGGTCTTGATTTTTGTCTCTCAAACTGTCTTCCCACCACAGATGTGTCTACAGAAAAAAACCAGCAACAAACACTGAATATAAAACAGGAATAATGTTGTAGAGACTCTCAAACATCCAGAAAATGCAGATTTTTAGTCAGAATATGCAGCTCTGTCCTCATCCAGGTTTCCCCTGGTCACACCTGTTCAGTCTGCATTTGGACTTGACAATGCACATTTTCCCTGTGCCCTACTCGGAGAGAAATAAATACTTTTATAGTCACTGATTTTTCTTGCAAAATGAGTTGGACACCTGTATGAATAGACAATAAGATTACAAAATAAAATGTGAGACTAAAAATAGATTTACACAGAAGTCTGCTCACCAGTTTCAGAAGAGAGCCCAAGAAGGTCAGTGCCTTGTTGATGGCAGCAATTTGCAGTGGGAGATTTCTTCCAAGCTTACTGTAAATCCTGAAATTAAATTGCTAGATCTCAGTTTCAAGTATTTTTTCAAAGCAGTCATTACCAAATGTCCCAGCAGGCACAGCAGGGATTGAACTCTCAACACAACAGCTAAAATATCACTATTTTGGTTTCAAGTTTTCCAATAAACTGCCACAGCACCACCAGAAGTTTTAAGAACACTTAAGAACATTCCCACTTTAAATTATCCCCACTTTCCACCAAAATTTATGATGTATCAAATTATGATGATTTAGGAAAGCATAGTGCCTGCTCCCATTTCTTATAGCCTTTTGTTTCATCTCTAATGCCATATTTTAAGCAGAATTTCACACTAGTGTACCACATTATGACCCTTGAGAATACTGAAACTTTAGTTTAAATATTTCAAAGGTAACCATTATTTGCAGCTCCAGCCTTTCACCTTACTCTGATGCTGTGTGGTTGCATGTGAACTGTAGATATGGTGGGTACAAATTTGTATATCTGGATTATATGTTTATAAAGCTGTTAGTGGTAATTCCACTTGTAAAAGACCTCAAAATTGATAAATATCATTTTTTAAAAAAACAAGGATGCTGTATTCTTTTCAAACAGCTGCTTACTGTATCTACTAAGAAAAAACATACATTACATTCCTTCTCAACATTTCCAATCTCTGATGGATGAAAAAAAATCAACAATTTAGAGTAAATATTTGTGCAAAACCAATTTAAAAATAATAATTATTTTAAAAAATAAATTATTTAAAGTGAAAGTAACTTGAGCAGTTTTAGCAGCACTGAGGAAGTTAATTAGGTTGGTGTCTGGTTTCCCATACTGCACTTATTTTTATTATTTCCCATATTTGCTCTTATTCACTTTATCAAAAAACAGCAGTTACATAAAACAAAATGCCAACATTCCTTTGCCCCTGAAAAAAAAATAATAAACTAAGAAAAGAGCATCAGGGATGCCTCACATAGGGCCTCATATAAATTTTGTGAATATAACACTTACTATATAATCAGTTGTAGGATTTAGGGCTATGCATGTTCTCTCTCTGGGCTAGACCTACCCCTGTCTCTTCAGATCTTTATGGTAAGGAAAAATTACCCTCAAACTTCCTCCTTGTAGTAGATATTTAAATGGAAGATGGTACAGACAGGGAGTTATGGTCAGATCCCAGTTTCTGCAGCACTGAGAAGGGTGGACAATGGCAGAACATCATTCTTTTGGTTAAAAACTCAATGTTAGAAACAGGACAATAATCTCAGTACTCAGCTGACATAAAACTAGTTGGCTAAAAAAATTGCCCATGCACAGATGAGAAGAAGCTAGTTTACTGTATCTTTAAAAACCGAAAATGTTTTTGGCTTTCCTTCTTGAACCTTTCTCCCTTCTGATTACATTTCTGACTAAACTCTTGGCAGAGACTAAAGCAAGCTGTATTTTGGGAAGAGCTCTGGTGCTCAGATCTCCTACCCTTTTCTCCTGGGACACAAACCACCACAGAGCAGGATTTCTTCTTTACTTCTATCCTTGCAACCTCTTCAGCCATTTTTCTCTGTACATTTATCACAGTACATCACCTCCTCCCCACTGGGGTTAGAAAGTTTGCAACCTGCAGGAGCAGCTTCTTTGGAGATGAAAACTTTTGGGCTCTTGGCTACTCACATAAACCAAAACCAGCTCCTCACCTAGATGAGGGGCTAATAAATCTTCCCTTTCAAGGAAGTTGTCAATGGTAGCATAATGAATCATAATTTACTTAAAAACTAATCATTGGGATCTCAGTCTGTACCCATAATTTCAGCTCCTAAACAGCTCTTGCTCTGAATTTTGAGAACTAAGCTATGAGTCACCTGTGAGATCTTCTTGTGCTTAGGCAGTTTCTTCATTAAACCATCTGCTCACTCTAAGATTTTAGTGTTTTGAGAAGGAACATTTCACTGCTGACATCAAAGCATTTGACCTCTGAACCTCTGGTGCCAAGAATCTCCCAGGGAAGTCCTGTTGTCTGGGAGCAAAGTCTTTGACCTGCAATTATTTTTGTCAGAAATACACATCAGGCTGTACTCTCCTCTCAGAAGAGAGGGAAGCTACCTGGGGATGTTTGGCAATGTTTTCTGTGCCTTATTGTCAATAAATAATCTGAGCGCACAGTCACCCCATGGCATCAGAGGAGTCTGGCAGGAGTTCCCCAGGAAGCACAGGCAAGCAGGGCACTGAGACTTTGCCAGTGCAAACAGCCCACAGGGAACAGGGATATCTGTACAAACACAAAAATATGTGGAATATAAAGGGCTGGAGCCCTTTATATCTGTTTACTTCTTTTAAATGGAGCAAGAGAAGTGTTTTCCTTAGAGTCAGAGGCTTTAGGGGCTCTTTATCTGTCTAGCCAAGATGCCAATGGAGCAGAGGCCTTGATTTATTTTACAGGTTCTGTATCCCCTGACTCCTCTGTTGTTAGTCCTCAGTTCCTCCAGGCCATTCCACAGATATAATCCAAGGATTTTTCCAGTCAGTGAAGCTCCTTAAACTCCAAAGATAACCCAAGACCAGTCCAGTGTTGCCTTGAATGTCTCCAGGGATGGGGCAGCCACAACTTCTTCTCTGGACAACCTGTGCCAGGGCCTCACCTCCCTCCCAGTGAAAAAATAAGGAGCCAACCAAACCCTCCAGTTCACAGTGTCTGGGAAACAGGAGAGCCCTTCAGCAAACATTTCACAGCCAGGGATTGTGACTGGGACATATTCTGCATGAGCAAAGCTTACAAATCCTGCTTCCTGTAGGATTTCCTATGCGTGGAAACAAGCACACGCAACAAATCAGGACCCTTTATATCTCTGCTGCCTCTTCTAAATAGAGCAAGAGAAGTGCTTTCCTTAGAGTCAGAGGCTTTATGGACTCTATCTGTCTAGCCAGATGCCAATGGAGCAGAGGCCCTGATTTGTTTTACAGGTTCTGTACCCTCTGTTGTTTGCCCTCAGTCCCTCCAGGCCATTTTAGCCAAGGATTTTTCCAGTCCATGAAGTTATATAAGCTCCAAAGATAAACCAAGACCAGTCCAGTGTTGCCTTGAATGTCTTCAGGGATGGGGCAGCCACAACTTCTTCTCTGGACAACCTGTGCCAGGGCCTCACCTCCCTCCCAGTGAAAAAATAAGGAACCAACCAAACCCTCCAGTTCACAGTGTCTGGGAAACAGGAGAGCCCTTCAGCAAACATTTCACAGCCAGGGATTGTGACTGGGACATATTCTACATTACAAATCCTGCTTCCTGTAGGATTTCCTATGCGTGGAAACAAGCACACACAACAAATCAGGGCATTTTACAGAACACACCATTTTTCAATTACTCCAATTTTCCCCCCACCTCTAGTAGTGCTCATATGAAGTTTCATCAGCCACTATCTCATATTTTGGATAATTCCCTTCCCTTGAGGAAAGAGCAGAGCCCTTCCATGAAGTGTCTATTGTGGTGAAGGTCCCCAGGACAAGGTGAGAGATGAGTATTGACTCCAAGTTCTCAGAAAGCTGATTTATTATATTATCATATTATATTCTATTATATTAAAAGAAAATTATAGACTAAAACTATACTAAAGAAGGAGAAAGGATACATCAGAAAGATAGAAAAGAATTATAATAAAAAGTGACAGACTCAGAGAGTCCAACACAGCTGGCTGTGATTGGCCATTATTAAAAACAATTCACACATGCTGGGTAAACAACTCTCCAAATCACATTCCAGAGGAGCAAAACATTGGGTAGCTGAGGCTTCTCATCTTGCCAGGAGAAGAAATCCTGGCAAAGGGATTTTTCAGAAAATATCACAGTGACACATGTCTGCATTAGTTACTGGGCTCTGCCTGCTGGATCCACACAGCTCCTCCGGGCAGATGGACAGGAAATCCACTTTCTTTCAGTGCTTACAGCAGAAAGGCTTTGTCTGGATAAAATAACCTCAAGCTCTTGCCTTTCAGGCTGTATTTGTGAGTTATGATGGGACAGCTCCCCTCAGCCATGGCTCCAGGTGTTGGCCCCCCATCCTCACCCTCCCCACACACAATGGCACATTGTTCTCCTTCCTGCACGCAGGAAGGATTTCCATCCAGCACCAGACTCTTACACCACTGTTCCCCCCCTCTGGACCATAATTGTTATTTTATTCTCTTCAATAACTCTCAGACAGGGATAAGCTCCCAGGGCTGTCTGGGAGCTCCTCTGGGAGCAGATTGCAGCAGAGATAATGGCAGCGAGTAACAGAGAGCAGGGTGACTTCATACATGGAGCTTGCAGTTGTGTTTCTCTTTCCTTATTAAAGAAGAAAACATTTTTTCAAGCCTCCCTCAGTCACACTTTGGAGCAGGAAGCAGAACTGTGAATTGACATGCTTTCTTACAGCCTTACATTTTCAGTTCAGTGAAAGTTTAT